CTTATCCATAAAATGAAGATATCATCACTTCCTTTGCCTATCCCTAATGATTGCTTTAATGTCAAATGAAATAGTGGGCACGAAAGTGTTTTGTAAACTTTGAAGGACTACGTGAATGTGCACTGGGTAATTGTAACAATCAGAATTTAACTAGAGTACCGAAGCTTAAGTTATGGTATATATACAAATGCAATGTCACTTGGTGACATTTAAATGCTCTAAAAGCTCAAAGGTGATCACACCCTATGGAAAGTGTGGATCTTATAAGAGATTAGTGACATGTGGACTATGTTACCTTCCAGTATCTAGTCATTTATTAAAGCTTTTCAAGACTATTAGTAGTTAGCAACTAACACAGGCAGCAACAAAGTAGATAGCAAATTCCCTTGCTTCATGATCTCCTGTCACAGTAACTACTCATTTTTGAAAAATGATTACATATCAGGCCAGAAGTAAGTGCACACAAACATTATTTCATCTTAGCTCTCACAATAAACTTTTGAAATTGTACTATTATCCTGATTATATAGATGAGAAAACTGAGGCTCAAAGAAAGAAAAGAACCCCACTATCATATGGTAAGTAAATGATTATTTCAAAATTCAAACCCAGGCTAAGTCTGATTCCATTTGTATATATCTCTGTCTATAACGTTTGTCTTTAATGATTTTGTTATGCTAATTACCAGATGCTTTTCTCCTTGCCAGTTCTTTTCTGAAGGATAATGCCTCAAAAGACAGATAACCTAAGACAAAAAGAAGCAAGATACTTGAACAGGTACTTCACAAAAGAAGATGGCTAAATGGGCGGGCACAGTGACTCACTCTTGTAATCCCAGCACTTTGGGAAGCTGAGATGGGCGGATCACAAGTTCAGGAGTTCAAGACCAGCCTGGCCAATATGGCGAAACCGCATAATACAAAAATTAGCTGGGCGTGTTGATGGGCACTTGTAGTCTCTACTAAAATCTACCAAAAATACAAAAATTAGCTGGGCGTGTTGATGGGCACTTGTAGTCCCAGCTACTCAGGAGGCTGAGGCAGGAGAATCGCTTGAACTCGGGAGGTGGAGGTTGCAGTGAGCCGAGATTGTGCCACTACACTTCAGCCTGGCGACAGAGTGAGACTCCATCTCACGGAAAAAAAAAAAAAAGAAGATGGCCAAATGGTCAATAGATGTATGAAAACATGCTTGACTTTATTAGTTATCAGGGAAATGCACAGCAAAGCCATAATGGGATACTCTGACATACCAGACAGGCTAAAATGCAAATGACAATACTAGGTGTAGGGGGGAGGCACGCAGGTGGGAGTGAACATTGATCCGATGTTTCAGATCAACTGAGTGTATCAACTGGTTTCAGAAAGCTGCTGACCAGCATCTACTTAAGAACAATGTATTTATACTGTACCCTATGACTTGGCAATTTCATTCCTTGATTCGCATCCAAAAGAAATGCATACATAAACATTCACAATATGGCATGTCCCAACTGTTTATAACAGCACTATTTTTGATAGCCCCAAACTGGAGACTACCCAAATGCCCATCAACAGTAGCACGGATCACTAAGTCATCATAGAGCCACACAATGGAATACTGTACAGCCATGAGCACGAGAAACTGCAGCTTCAACTATGTGCAGCCACGTGGGTTAACATCATGAATACAATGGTGAGCAACACAAGCTGGATGAGAGGAGAGTGCATGCTGTTTGAGTTCGTTTGAATAAAATTCAGAAACAGGAAAAACCAATCCACCATGTTAGAAGTCAGTTTAGTGGGTACCCTGGGGGAGGTGGGAGACAGCTGGAATTGGAAGGGAGGAGAAAGTCGCTCACAATGCTTGGTTTCTCGATTTGAGCGTTGGTTACACAGGCATGTTCACTTTGAGAACATTCTTCAAGCTCAACACTTATAATTTCTGCACCTACTTTTCTGCATATATGTTATACTTCAGTAATAATACATTTTAAAATTACTAAAAGGATATAATTGGATTGTTTGTAACACAAAGGATAAACGCTTGACGGGATGGATATGCATTTTTCCATGATGGGATTATTATGTGTTGCATACCTGTATCCAAACATCTTATGTACCCCATAAATATATACACCTATTATGTACCCACAAAAATTAAAACATTTTTTCAAAAAGCTTACCAAAAAGAGTTAGTATCTCTGCTCTCCAAAGCCTGCAAATGTCAATACTTCAGAAGTGTTTCACAGAAATGCACACAGAGCTTACCATGTTTATATATCCTTTTAAATTTAAGAGTATTTATTCAGCTCACAGATTTTCATGTCCTTAACAAAATAGCGAGACAGTTTAGGTAAACACAGGAATTACTTCTGAGCTGTGAAGCTGAGTTCTAAAAGAATGATGGTTAGGAGTAAACAAAAGAATGAAGACTAGATATTGAACATCAATAATAATGTCAAGAATAAAAGGCTTATGCATTGAGTCTTAAAGAGCAAGACAGGGCTACAGCCTACAGCCTACTTCTGCGAGCCCGGTGCTCAGAGAAGTTTTGAATCTGAAGGTAACGTTAAAGTGAGGGGAGGGAACCTAATAAAAGCAACAGCTTAGAAAGGTAAAAACCTAGAAATAAAGAACTATGGCATATGCATATAACTTTCTTTGAAACCCACATAACTTTCATATTCTTTCTGAGAGACAATGTTTGAGTAGGAGGAATTCTTAAGAAAGCTGTCATACTAAAACGAAAAAGTACAAGAACTAGTGAAAGATTAAGATACACACACAGATGCAAATTTGTCAATTGATTTATATTATATCTAAAATATATTCTCTATATAATTAGATCTGACAGATACATGCATACATGTATGTATATACATATTGGCATTTAGTTCCAGTATTATCAGAATTGTGATTCCCTGAAATTGACAACAGATTTGAGAAAGGACACCAGGACAGCCCAACCAGTGTGGTGAGTCCTCACCACTAGTACCACATGGGGTCTGGCTGCCCTTTGTATTCCATGAGCAGCCTCTAGACTCATCTGCTTTGCAGACAAATCTAAAGTCTCCATCACAGATAGATGCACAGTGGGTTCTTTTCCTCCAAGGAAAAAAATAGGTTTCAGATTTAACCTATCTTCCACTCCAGGTTGGCCATCTGTAAAGAAAACTGCAATCCATAAAGTGTCAAAGAAGAGAGGTTAAAACAGCAGCACGTGGGTTAGAGGTAAAAGGCTTCCCAAGAGAGAAACTCTCTAAAGTACAGGAAAATGTATTTCTAGTGACCAAGGTTATGCATTTCTTTTACCTTTAAAATTCATTTGTGCTCTACATATTGTGGTACTTTATTCAAAATACAGGGTAAAAATATTTGAGAATGAGCAGATGAACCAAGTCTCTGTATCTTTCAATCAAGACCTCAAAAATCCAGATTATGCTGTCTCTTCTTTCTATTTCTTTATACGTTCGACGTAAGAAGAAGAACTAAAATAAGTAGGGTAAAAATTTGTTGCTTTGTTGGAGGCCTTATTTCAGAATTTCTGTATTCAATAGGCACACATAACCACGGATTTCTTCTAATTCATTATACGAGAATAAACAGAAACACAGAAAGCTAAGAAATTCTCACTCTTCATTATTCTCGTAACTATGGATTTTTAAATTAAAATTATTTTTGTTTTTAACTTACGGTTTTCTTTAGGCGGCTAATCTTATACTCTAAAAAGTTTGTAACACTTATTCCCAAATCTTATTTGAAAAGCAATTAATTTTTTGATTGGATGAAAGCCATCTATCCCTGCAGATGTCGTCTTCAGAAATCTTGGCTGGCTACCTCACTACTCCATTGATTTCTGATATGTCAACTGTTGCATTCAAAAGACAAATGGCACCAAATATGTAACAGTTACAAAAACCTTTAAATGAAAGGGGTTTTTCAGGCTTTTACTTATTTAATCGAATTGATCACTCTCTTTAAGATTCGACAGTATAGTTATCTCTTCCCTGCCCTCCCACCCCGCCCCCTCACTGTTTTCAACTTTATTATTGAGATCGTATCAGATTTTGACCTTGTTTGTCCTATAAGTCTCACATATATCTCTTTCTGTGGCCAATTTTCCAAGGTCACAGGTTTCTTTACCTTCAACACTTTAAGTATTGATTAGCTTGCTTTGTCAATTTTCTATTTGTTTTGCAGTCAGGAATGTCAAACCAGTGTTAAGCAATTCAGCACTGCAGTTTGCCCAGCCTGCATAAACCTCCTGTTCCCTTTCGCATCCCTCCCTGAAAATAGAGTAGCTGCACGCAAAAGGAGTATGAAAATCAAGCCAGCGCTTGCTCGGAGCTGGTCGGCTAGTGTACGGCACAGCATATTTCAATTAGCATCCAATCATGTTAAGTAGTGATACTTCAATATTTGTGTGAGCCTGCCTTGTAGAATTTAATACTCAGACAGCCATTTTGCAAAACACAGCAGGGCCATGAAATAAGGGCTATTTCAGTGAAAGAGTCACAGGATGATAAAGCTGTTGCAACAGCTGTGTCATCTATCCAGTGATTATTATCTACTATTTTTCTGAAGCTGCTCAAAATAGGATTTAGTGTTAGCCTCTGCGCCTATCTATAATTTGTCAAACTCCGTGGTATTTCTCCCCCCCACCATCCCATCATTCAAATATGAAAACAGGACTACTGTAGGTAAAAGAGAGTATCAACTGGTTTGAATGAGACAGATCTCTGAGACAATGGACTTCTCAAACCAATCCCTGTGCAAGTTATTTCCAACCTTATCAAAGTCACAAGGCACAAAAGATAGATAAAAACATCTCTGGGAAAAAATAAATATGTCAGAATCTCCTATACCTCAGATTCCTTGAAAACTCATGGTACGAGATGATCGACTGTCTGGTTGGTACAGCACAGGGAATAAAAACAGCTGAAAGAGGCAACATGCACCAGACAGACACGAACAGTATTTTCAGCTCCCAGCTGCAATTCTACAGCAATAGAAACTTACATAGGACACCCGTACTCGCCGGCGATGCACCAGCCCGCAGCACTGCATGAAGAGGGGGCAGAACGCAGTCAGCGTGTGGCTTCACCAAGCTGCACTGTGCCTTGTCTTCTCGTCACAGCCTCGGTCCATTTCTTCCCACCTTCTACTCCCAGGTAAGAGGCATGAGCAAATCGCTTAGCTTCTGCCTCCTAGGTAGTTTCTAAAAAAGCCACCGTTCCTGCAGGCATGCCAAAACTTTGTTCTCCCCTGCTTTGTCTTTTTTGGGGGGTAGGGGGCGTAATTTGAGATCTTCTTCAAGGGGGTTTCCTATTTGCAAAAATCTACAAGAAGTAGCATTAATTTTCCAGAAGTAAGTATTGCTAACACAGAGTTAGGACTGTCCAGATCATCAGAGTTTCTTGGTGACGCTTTTACAGTAGCCATTCTCAACTCGGGAGATTTTCAAACATCTGAGAATCTTGCATTTCACGACCCTGCAGTATTCTGCTTTTAAAAAGGAGGAGGCCTACTCCTGCTGCTGTTTATGTGACTGCTTCTTAGCACGCTGCTGCTCCTGCTTCCGCGGCTGCTCAGCTATGATTGCCTTCTTCACAATGCACAGGCTGACAGCAGCATCCTGGATTCACTGTTACCTCTGTAACGTTTTGGGCATATCTGATTTGCTACTTCTCCCTCCTCCCCTGACCCTGAAAAATGACTGAGTCTAGACTCAAATTCACTGTGGATTCCTAGGACTACAGAAACATCCTCCAAACCATCAGATGCTTTGTCCTGCAGTAGGTATTTCACATGAATTGTAAGGAGGATAGCCAGAGTGGCCTCAGGACCTGACTCGCTGAAGCACTGCGGCGCACGGCTGTTTGGTGCTCACTGACAAATATTCATTTTCTGGGTTAAAGCATGTTAAATAAACGTAACTCTGGAAGGCGAATTTGATCCGACTCAGACCTCATTAATTCATTAGATCACATACCACCTATGATTTAGATATAATAAACTACATAAGGCTGCCTTCCAAGTGTGAGAGCTCCCAAGTCAATATTCTTTGTAAGCTATTATTTAGCTCTTTCCCTAAAGACCCAGTTTTCAGGGACTGAGTTGATCCTAATATTCTCCCTAAAGACCCTGTGCATGTCACATATAAAAAGATGAATCATTAAGACATGTGGAGATTCAGCTGTTCATTTGTATGATATCAGCCATTCTAATACGCAATGATTCATAAAACACTTTAGTGTGTCATAGATATTGATCCAAATTTGCCCCCATGCCCAAGTCATTCCATATTCTGCTGAGACCTAAGACGGTATGTTAATGATTTCATGTCACGGATTAACCACCACTACGTTCTTTTGGTTCCTGGAAAAATAAAAGACAATTAATTCTCAACAATTTACCAGTATTTTCTCAAGGCTGTTTTGAGATAGGGTCTCACTCTACTACCCAAGCTGAAGTGCAGTGGTACAATCATGGCTCGCTGCAGCCTTGAACTCTTGATTGCCTTGCTCAGGCAATCCTCCCACCTCAGACTCCCAAGTAGCTAGGGTTGTAGGTGCATGGCACCAACCTGGTTAGTTTTTTGTTTTTTGTTTTTTTTTGAGACAGAGTCTCACTCTGTCACCCAGACTGGAGTGCAATGGCACAACCTCAGCTCACTGCAACCTCCACCTCCAGGGTTCAAGCAATTCTTGTGCCTCAGCCTCCTGAGTAGCTGGGACTGTAGGTGTGCACCACCATGTCTGGCTACTTTTTGTCTTTTTTTTTTTTTTTTTTTTTTGGTAGAGATGGAGTTTCACCATGTTGGCCAGTTGGCCAGGCCGGTCTTGAACTCTTGGACTCAAGTGATCTGCCCATCTTGGCCTCCCAAAGTGTTGAGATTACAGGTGTAAGCCATAGTGCCCAGCCTAATTTTTAAAAATTTTTTATAGAGACAGGGGTCTCACTTTGTTGCTCAGACTGGTCTCAAACTCCTGGCTTCAGACCATTCTCCTGGCCAGCCTCCTGAAGTGCTAGGATTACAAGTGTGAGACACCATGCCTGGCCTTAAAATCTATGATTTAAAGCAACAGTTTTATATTGTTATTAATAGTCTAAGAGGTTGATAGAGCTGAAAAAAAATTCTGCCTTAATCTCCTTATTTAACTGATAAACCAGGTCCCAAAATGATTCCATGTTCTGTTTATCAGTAATATAAGCAATAGTATAATTTAAACCCTGTAACTTATACAATCTACATAGTCTGTGAAAATTCTATGGTCTTATCATATACCAGTCAATCCTTTGTGGATTTGAAGGTCCAAAAGGAAAATAACAGATAGTCTATAGATAGACAATAAGGACACTTTAGTGATTAAATCAGAAACCTAGAATAAAATGAAATTTCTGAATTACACTGCAAATTGGCTCTTGAAGTAAATCCTGGAAAAAAAAAATCCCTCACCATTTTCTGAACCATACATGATATATTTCTAGTAGGTAGGATTTCAATTTGATTTTTTAAAGAAACTTTAGTGAGAAGAACACTAAGTAATATAAAAGAACACATAATTCAAATTCAAATTCAAGTTTTTTCTTTTTTTTTTTTTCCTTTCTTTTTTTTTCCAACAACTTTTTTTGGCACAAGGAGTTTTGTCTTATGGCAACCCAGGCTGGAGTGCAGTAGCGGGATCACGGCTCACTGCAACCTCGCCTCCCGGAGTTCTTTTTTTTTTTTTTTTTTTCCTTTCTTTTTTTTTTTTTTTTTTTTTTGACACAGAGTTTCGCTCTTATCGCCCAGGCTGGAGTGCAGTAGCGGGATCTCGGCTCACTGCAACCTCCGCCTCCCAGGTTCAAGTGATTCTCCTGCCTCAGGCTCCCGAGTAGCTGGGATTACAGGTGCCCGCTACCAGCCTGGCTAATTTTTTATATTTTTAGTGGAGATGGGGTTTCACCACGGTAGGCAGGCTGGTCTCGAACTCCAGACCTTGTGATCTGCCCGCCTCAGCCTCCCAAAGTGCTGGGATTACAGGAGTGAGCCACCGAGTCTGGCCTCAAGTTTTTTCTTAAGGCCCCTTCATCACCTCCATCACCACACTTCTACTAGAATAACTGAATAAAGAATAAAAATTCAGCTTAAAGTTAGAATAAGATGAAAACACTGGGGAAACGATCTATCCCTTCTATGATTCTGAATTTGATTTGGAATTCACTTAACTTTTTATTAACTATGATATTTTTATATACAATATAAGAGAGATTCCCCCGTTCATTAGAGATTCCACCCACCTTGTCATTCAAGAATCCACAAAAGGATTCCAAGCACTAACTAATTTGATTCAGCAAACATTTATAGAGCACCTTCTGTTTGCTCAGTGCTGTGCTAAGGTGCTGGGGATATGAAATGAATAAAATACAATCCATGTATTCCTCTAGGCACTTATAACAACTGAGGAGGCTGGGTGCGGTGGCTCACACCTATAATCCCAGCACTTTGGGAGGCCCAGGTGGGCAGATCGCCTGAGGTCAGAAGTTTGAGACCAGCCTGACCAACATGACAAAACCTTGTCTCTACTAAAAATACAAAAATCTGCTGGGCATGGTGGCGCATGCCTGTAATCCCAGCTACTCAGGAGGCTGAGGAAGGAGAATCACTTGAACCTGAGAGGCAGAGGTTGCAGTGAGCCAAGATCACGCCACTGTACTCCAGCCTGGGTGACGGAGGGAGACTCTGTCTCAAAAAAACAGAGAAAAGAGAACACAGTATTTAAGAGCAAAGGGAACACCAAGGAAACAACTCCTAACCATCCCTGGAAGGAACAACAGAGCCTTCACAAAGATGAGGACACGGGCTAGCCTTGCAGAATGGATAGAATTGCATTCAGTGGAAAGTGGGCAGAGAAAGAATCCCAGGCAATGGGCAGAAAATGCAAAAACACAGAAAATTATGTACAGACTATACACAGAACAAATTGTGTTTCTATAGTGTATATGAAGAAGGGTATCTTCAGACAACAGGGATCTACCCCAAGTCCTCATTCCAAACTCAGTTCTCCCCCAGATTCAGTCTTTACCTATCTCTATATCCCTAGCACTCAGTACAGTGACTGAAACATAGTAGGTATCACAAAGATTCATAGTTGTCCCCTCCTGACCCATTCTTTACTTCAGTTACAGTAATAGAAATAGACATTGGCCGCTGGGCTAAGACTAATGCCCCAGCTTCTCTTGCAACGTGGATGGCCACAGGACTAGATTCTGGTCAATGGGCAGATGCAGAAATGGCATGTGCCAATACCCAAGTCATGTGTCATTGCTGAGAGCTGGGACAGCCATTTATAATGAGAAGAAAGCTGCACATTCAGGGGAACAGAGCGACAAGGCAGACCCAAATCCCTAGGACAGGGGAGCTGCAATATTGGCCCAATAGTGCTTACATTTGGACTGCACCAAGAAAGAGACATAACTCCTATATTGGCACTTTTGCTCTGATTTCAATTATAGATCCTAAACTTGTACTATTATTACTATTATTATTATTAATTTTTGAGACAGGGTCTCTGTCACCCAGGCTGGAGTGCATTGGTGCCATCTTAGCTCACTATAGCCTCAACCTCCTAGGCTCACGGTGATCCTCCCACCTCAGCCTCCCAAGTAGTAGTTGGGACTACAGGCATGTGCCAACATGCCCAGCTAATTTTTGTATTTTTTGTAGAAATGGGGTTTTGCCATGTTGCCCAGGCTGGTCTTGAACTCCTGAGCTCATGCAATCCGCCCACCTTGGCCTCTCAAAGTGCTGGGATTAGAGGCCTGAGCCACCACACCCGGCCTAAACATGTATTTTAAAAGCACCTCAAAGTGCTTCTGGAATGAATGATGAATTCACAGATCCAAGCCTGTGGAGGAGGAGGGGGAGTGGAAGAGAGGAATAAGAAAAGGCAAGGGTGGAGAGGAAAATCAGGATCTCAGGCTGGGACTACCTGGGTCCCATCAAAAGAGTTTAGATGCAGAAAAGAGTTTAGAATTGAACTGGTAGTACATATAGAATTATTGAAACTTTAAAATGTGAAAATATCTGTAGTTTTATTAGGAAGTAGAAAAAAAATTTCAGACTGTTGAGTCTGAAAATAACCTGGTCAATAGTTCAACTTCGGCAAGAAATTGAAAGGTTTTGAGCTTGTATACTTGTCTGTGATAACTGTTCATTTACTAAATAATCAAATAAAGTCAATAAAAACTAGTTGCTTGGCTCATGTAGCTACATTAAAAACCTAATGAACTGCTAAATTAGCTGTTTTGTTATAATATGAGATATCTTAAAAGCAAAATATTGAAAAGTGATACGAAGAGGCTCAATGACAAAAGTCAACAAATTAAAAATAATCAAAGATAAATGTAGATAATATTGATGGCAGATATATATTTTTTAATCCAAGGGATTTATTCCTGGAGAGTCATTTGAAAGTATGAGGATTGCTGTTTCTTTACTATTCACTGTCCATGTTACTATTAGTTAGGAGTGGCAAGAACAGAGTCAAAGTTAAACATCAGATGAAGTGCTTCCTCCAAGAAGATAACTCTTTGATAATAGGAAATGAAAGACCTAAAGAAGCCTTCTGTGGCAGAACTGAAGGTTTTGTGTCAGAGTTGACTCTGCTGAAGTGTTTCTGGCTTTTCTGTGGCTGTGATTTCAGGAAAGAAGGGTCCCTCCTCCGACAGACACTTGCTCATATCCTCATTAGACTCTCCCTTCATAGTACGTCTGCAACCATGAAGAGCCTAGTGTCCTTAAGTTGACCGAAAACTCTTTTGCTAATTTCAGTAAAAACAAAAAAAAGGACCAACTATCTCTATTCATCCGTCCGGCCAACAATATCAACTGAGGGCTGCTCACCAAGCGCGTGTCTCTGCTGGGCACCAGTAGGATGATGACAAGTAAAACAACTAAGGTCCTTGCCTTCAAGGAGCTTAAAATCCAGGGGGCAAGGCAATTTGAATCCAATAATCACATAAGCATATAATTATAAGCTAATAAGATATTTGCATGAAAGTACAGAATACTATGAAAATGTAGACCAGGTTGACATCTTCGAGAATTAGAAGGGTCAGAAAAGGTGTCTCTGGGGCACTGCTACCTGAGCTGAGGTTGAAGGGTGTGAAGGAGTTAACTAAATGCAGGGGAGATAAGGCAGGAAGAGGGAAGGTATTATTTACAAAGGTCCTTGTGGTAGAAAGGAGAAGGCTGAGTTTAAGCAGTTGGAGAATAAAGCGAGAGAAAGAGGAGAAGATGAGGTTAGGGAGGCAGGTGATACCAGGCAAGATCATGAGGGCCATGCTGGGGATCTTTTCTCTTTCTACAAAGAGCAGTGGGATTTCTTTCCCTCAAAAGGCGTGATCAGATTTGTACCATTTAAAATCCACTTTGGCAGTAGAGTTGAAGACAGATTGGAAGACAGCTAGAGAGAAGCCAGGGAGGCCAACTAGGAAGTAATTTTATCCAAGCAAAAGATGATGGTCTCGTGCTAAGGAGCTGAAGACGGGAGGTAAGGAAAATGAACGAATCTATTAGATATTGAGGAATTCAAGTAGGTAAGTGCAAATACAGAAAACAGAAAATGAAACCCAATGTAATACACACACATTCCCATGTTCTCTCATGCCTGAACATTTCC